GAAATCAGGAGAGAGTGGCTCAGGATCTGTGTAGGGACTTTGAGTGGCACCTTGCTGAGCATGTTGGAATGACTAGATAGTCTCTAGTTTCTATGACCAATCTAGCAAGCACCAGCCCCATGTGGCTCCTGAGAAGCTGGAGCTCAGGCTGTCTAGCTTAGTCTGAGTTGCTTAGCCAGGATGGGCAGGGCAGGGGTGAAGCTGGGGGCTGAGCTCTGAGAGATGCAGCCTGGCCTCACAGCCTCCACCCAAGCTGCTGGATCCAGCCAGCTGGGTGCTTTGGTGGCGGTATATTCTTTGATGAACACAGTGAAGCACATTTGCTATGTGAGGGTGGGAAGCACATTTGTTTTCCTCACTGCTCTCACAGAAGCAGACACAGGGCACAAGGGTCACTACAAATATGGTTGAATGATTATGGAACAGAGTCCCCAAGGGCCATCACACCAATAAGATGTGGCCCCTGGCATGGCTGGACACATCTCAACAAGAGAATATATTCATCCTGGCACCTTGTGTCCTCAGTTGTTAAGCCCTCTGATCAGAGCCTAGCTAATCAAAGAACACTTCCTCAAATGTTCATCAGTGCCCAGAACTCCCCCAGGGCTTCATTTCTGGTAGGTTTTCTGGGAAAGCCTGAGCCATAGTTGGGCTACTAGTAGCTTGAATGCCACAGGGAAGTGCCATACAGATGGCTTCAGGACCTGTGTCAGGACTTAGGTCTGCATACAGACTAAGATGGTACCTTTGGACAGCAACGGGAACATTTACATTCCTCATCTGATAGGGAAGCCAGCAGTCATACATGGCTACTAAGTACTTTTAACACATTCAGTGCAACCAAAGATGGGGACTTGTAATTTTACTTTAATTAAATTGCCCCTTGTGGCTAATAACTGGCACATCAGTGTTGGTTTAGAAAGTGTCTCAAGACTGTGGCTCATGAAAGAATTCATTTGAAGGAATGGTTGTCCATTTCTTGGGAGAACCAAGAACAGTGGGTTCTATATCCCTTTGGAAAAGGCACACTTCAGGCTTGGACAGATGGCTCAGTGCTTAAGAGCACTTACTGCTCTTGCAGGGGACCCGGTTTGGTTCCCAGCACCCACATGGTGGTTTGCAACTGCATGTAACTATAGTTTTGGGGGATCTGATGTCCCTTCCGATCTCCACGGGCTCCTGCATGTACATGGTATGCACCCGCATGATGCACATATATACACTCAGGCACACACACATACACATAAAATAAAAGGAATAAATATTTAAAAAGAAAAAGCAAAGTTTGAGGGAAATGACAGTATCTCCCATTTATACACCTTTGGTTTGGGCACAAGTCTCTGGAAACTTTTTGGGCTCCAAGAGAGTCTGCTTGCTAGCCTTAAGAAGTCTGCCTGAACCATGTAGCTCTAGTTCAGTTTTGCCATCTACTCAGCCATGTGACCTTGGACTTCTTCCCCTCCCAACCTTGGCACAGTCTCAGATGCCCAAATTCCTCTACATCTGAGAACCTCCTTCTCTCTGTTCTGGTGATGTGTATCTCAGACCTTTCTCCCCAGGCTTCTCCCAGGCCTGCTGACAGCACTGTCCACCCAACAGAAGGTACCCCAGCAGGGGAGGGCTATCCACCTGGGCAAGGTTGGCCTGGCTTACACTGGCCCAATCAGGCCAGGGAGGAAGGCTACAGTGAGGAGCTGGGAAATGACAGGGGACAAGGAGGAACCATCTGTACATTGCAGGTCTTCATTTCCCATGGCCAGCCTGGGGTACAGCTAGGGCTCACTCTGAAGTCAGAGATGGCACTGAAGGGTCTTCAGGGGGGCTTTGGTGCCACAGTCCAGGTCTCCATTCATTATATGCTCTTCTTCATGGGTGTCCCTGAAGCCATCACATAGATAATTTATTGAAAGTGAATCATTCTCCATGTGCTTTGGATAGGTAGAAATCACCTTTTATCCTTTTTTCTCAGTGGGGACATGGGTGGGGACACCAATATCTCAGCTTCTGAGCTGCAGAATGTTCCTAAGAATCTTTAGCTCTACCTCAGAAGTGTTCCCCAGTCAGCTCAAATGCTCAGTGCTCTCCTCAATAAAGTTCAACACATACTTCTAGAGACAATGGAAGAAACTTCTGGAGACATCATAACAGGTGGTTTTGCCATCCTCTGGCTATGTGACCTTGAGCAAGTTACCTAACTTCTCTGGGCCTCAGTCTGATAATCTGTCAACTATAGATAATAACAGCACTTGCTTTATTCAGTTATTATTTCAATGAAGGGCAGGACAAAGGATGTCTGTGGAGCACTCGGGACAGGATCTGGCACAAGGTGACTCCCATTGTTAGTGTTATCATTATTGCTATTTGATTTGCTAGTAACCTAGGATGGAGACAGTAACCATTTCTGAATCACAGTCTCCACCATTATAAAATCAGAAGGGTTATATACAGTACACCAACTTGCTCTGAGAGGTGGAAGGGATCAGGGCAAATGGCTGGAGGAAGCTGGACCTGGCTGCATTAGCTCCAAGAATCCAGCTAAGCTCATCTCATAGCAGCCATGCTCAGAGGGGCTTTGATAGCTCATTAAAGCCCCCTTTGGATATCTCTCTGGCTGGCTGGGCCAGATTGGAATACTGTGCAGTGATCCACAGACTGACCTCTCCTGCTCACTGACTAGTTTCACTCACTGGCTAACTTTTCAGCTCTTCTGCTCTCTCAAATGTTTCAACCTAGCATCTCCATCTAGGAATTGTGAAATGTCAGTACAGGACCTGCAAGGTGCATCCTGCTCCTCAGATTTAGATAAGGAAAGGGACTCAGCCAAGGTCACAGAAAACATCAGACATAAAGCTGGCACCATACCCTAGAGTTCCTGTCATTAGGGACAAAGATAGGTGTCTGCCATAGGCTGCTGGTGCCCCTGGTTGCCCCCAGGGGTTCATAGTGGCATTCCCTCTGCTGAGGCTGGCATTCTTCCAAGCATACTCCTAGCCTTGGGGGCTCCCTTCCCTGAGGACTGGCTCTCCTTCTGGCTTTGTGCAGAACCCCCTCCCACGCCCGACCTACTCCCATCTGCCTGCCTCACCTCCTCTGTGCCAAAGCATGGCTGCCCTCCCCTCAAACCACCTGGCAGGGCTGGGATTGGACCAGATGGAGCTGATCAAGACTGCCTGTGCCCTTGGCCCTCTCCCGCCTTGAGGCTAGTGGCAGGCAATCAATGCCCTAGGACCACAAGTGCCCAGTTCCTTCCGACTGACCAGCTAGCTGTTCTGGTGAAGACTTGAGGGGTCAGCTTCACCCTTGGCTCCTCTGCTAGGCCTAATCTTGGCCCCAATGGAACTTGGCAGACTCTCAGACCACTCCTCCAGGCTCCCCTTTCCAAGCCAGGAAGCCTTAGTTTCCTTGTCTATCAAGGGTGGTGGTGGTGGGTGTAAACACATCAATTTATGAATATGGTTGATAGAAGGCTCCACCAGGGGGTCCAGGAACCTGCTTAGAACCATGTGTGGATGCAGGAGGAGGAGCTCAGGAAGGGGGATGATATGGCATTATTCATATACACACACCCCATAGATATACAGGAGCATCCCCAGCTATCTGCTCAAACAAAACAAAGGGACCTCCATCTATGCCCTCAGTGTACTGCCAAGTCTCTACCCTCCTGGAGCCTCAATGATCCTGTCTGTGAAATGGGTACAGAGGTCAAGACTTTGCATCTTGTTAGTGAGTCTGTAGATCCAGCAGAATCAAGGTCATGAATGTGCCACACAAAAACCCAGTGCCCACTTTGTCAAACCTGTGCCAGGCACCTGGGAAGTCATGTAGATTAGGAATCAAACCTTTGCTTTAAATGGTCACATACTAGGAGGGGCAAGGGCAGAGATCCAGAGCCCAGAACTATGGGTGGTGGTGTATATGCAGGTGGCATCTGCCAGGCTGGTGCCAAACTCCTTGTAGAGAGCTAGAGGAGACTGGAGTGGGGACTTGATCATGTCGCACCCACTTTAGGTCAGAAACCCAAGGCCCCATCTGTGAAAGAAGTAGTAGCCTTATTTGGGGTCTGGCCTTGGAGTGGCAAACATTCAGTGAGGAGTGGGAGATCCTGGCCCTGCCTACCTTGCAGCAAGAGAATGACAGAGGCGTGCTAGAGCTCCCAGTCTAGGACTTGCTGCCTGTCTGTTCTGCCTAGGTGAGGCACCAGGACCCTGACCCCTGACCCTGCCTTCTGCCTCTCCCCTGTTGGCTGAGTCACTAAGCCCCATAGTGGCTCACAGGATAGGGAGAGCAGGTCATAGAGAGAGGAGCCGGTCTTCCTGGGCTCCAGAGATGTTGCCAGTGGCTCCACATCCCAGAATAGCAGAGCTGGAGCCTTCAGTCCCAAGAACACTGAGGCTCCCCATCACAGAAACCCTCTGGCCAAGGTCACACAGGTGAGGAGAGGAGCTGTTGGCAGAGATGAAGGATTTGTTCAAGTGTGGCTCTGCCACTTCACTTGCCCGTGGCACTGTCCATGCCAGCGGCAGGGTCAGCTGGGCAGCTATGTGGGTGTGCAGGGAACAGTGTAGGAACATGTGAGGGGGAGGATGACACAGTGCTAGGAGGCGGGGGGAGGGGTTGCCTTGAAACCCTGGAAGGTGTGTGGGCAGGGGCTAGACTCTTGGTTCAGGCCTGGCACCCCTGGGCTATGCCTGCTTGGAGCCCCAGCCCACAGTCCCCAGCGGCCTTGTTCCCTAGACACAGATGCGCGTGCGCGCGGGATGCGGGGTGCAAGGTGCGGGTGCGGGTGCGGGGTGCTCCCCACCAGCTCTGAGGCTCCCGGGTGACACGCACCCGTGTTGCCGCAAGGACATGCAGGCCCGGCCCTTAGGGAGCAGGTGCCTTGGGCGGGATCCTGCTTACCCCCACCTGCCGCCGCGCCACCTGCTGGGCCGCCCTCTCGCCCCTGCCTGCTAGCGCGCCCACCCCTTCTGCTCCCGCCTGTGCGCCTGGGCACCACTTACCCCGGCATGGGCACAGCCGCCACCGCGGCCTCTGCTCTGGCTGTTGCTGTTGCTGCGGGAGGGCGCCCGGAGGGCAACGATCAGCTCCAAGGACGGAGAGGCCCGGGCACCGGGCGGCCTGACCAGCAGTGCGGAGCAGGACCCTCCGCGGCAGGCGAGGGCTGTGTCCCAGTGCTCCCCACGCTCCGCACCAGCGGCGGCGGGCGACGCTGCGCGCTCGACTCCAGCCGCAGCTCTAATCGCGGAGGGAGGGAGGAAGGGGTGGGGGAGGGAGGGAGCCGGAGGTGGTGGCGGTGGCGGTGGCAGTGGCGGTGGTGGTGGCGGCGGCGGCGGTGGCGGCGGCGGCAGCGGCGGCGGCGGCAGCGGCGGCGGAGGAGGAGGAGGAGGAGGAGAAGGAGGAGGAGGAGGAGCGGATGGAGGGGCAGTGCACTGGCGAACAGGCTCTGGGGACAAGGTGCTCCTGAGCCTTGCGCCTGGTGTGTGCCCTTCTGTTCCCAGGATGCTAGGGAATGCCAGCACTTCCTAGCCTGGCATGGCCCTCCAAGGACACTGGCAGAATAGTGGTGGGTGTGGTTAGAAAGTGGGGGCTGAGAAGCTGCTGGTGCAGAAAGCCCCCTCATGTGACTGGGGCAGCAGGTTGTCATACCTCTCAAGACCCTCTCTGCCCTTGGGGTTTGGAGCTGATTTGTAGCTTGGGGTCTCTGGGCTCTTGGTGGGCTCCTGTGGTTGGTGGTTGTCTGAAACTGCCTGGTAAGCGATGGGAGTGCAGGCATTCAAACACATTTTCCCAGAGGGAAGCTGGAGCTTATAACAGATTTTCACTCTGTGACCCCTAAAGGTTATCAAGTGAACACCATTTTCCAGGACAAAGTGGGCTATGCTGCACACAAGTGAACACCCAGAGGCAGATACAGGGCATACCCTAGAGAAGACACTCACATACACCCGCCAAAACACATGCACACCAATGAGGGCAGCCACCCTTGTGTGCCCTTGGACTTCCAGAAGGGAGCCGCACTTGCCACTAGTCTTTGTAGCACTGAGCTTTCCAGCTGATTGGACAGAAGAAGCTGACCCCAGATCCTACCTTGCTTTGGTCTGTGAACAGGGTTAGGGGCTGAGGAGAAGGCTATGGGCCAAACCTTGGGGTCACTTCACTTGCTGGAGCTCCTGGAGACAAAGAGGGAAAAGACTGAACACACAGGGCACCAAGGGAGCCTATGCACCAGGCTGGGATGGGTGATGGGGATACAATGGTGTCTACTGAAAGGGAGTGGGTGGCAGACAGTGACTACTCAGATCGTTGGGATAAGGGATACGGGGGAACCATTAACTGGGGATGACATAATATGGTTATGGAGTTCAGAGAAAGCAGTTTTTGAGGTGCTGCCACCGTATCGTATCTGAAGTACAGGAAGGCACTGCTGTGGTCTCATGTTGGGCCAGAGAAGGTCACACCCCTATAGCCAGCCCCTCCTCCAGGAAGCAACTAGTTCTGTGGAAAAGCCCATGAGATCTGGTGTCCTAGAAAGTCAGGCCAATACTGGTACTTCTCAGTACAGGCAGACTACTTGCATACTCACATACACACTCATACAGCTACCCCACATTCACACAACATGAGCACTCATACATTCACACTCACTTCACACCAGCATGCATACTCACACAGCCACTCCACACTCACCCAATATGAGCACTCATTCACAACTACCCCAAACCCAATATTCACACTTACTTGCTCACCTACACTCACACCCAATATGCTCATTCATGTGCTTACTCACACACTCACCCAACATTCACACTCACTTGCTCACCTACACTCATACCCAATATGCTCATTCATGTGCTTACTCACACAATCACCCAACATACACACTCACTCATTCACACCCACTCACATTTGCCAAAATGCACACTCATGTGCTCATCCCAACCCACATTCACCCAACATACTCACATTCACCAACATGCACATTCATATGCTTACCTACAATCTACACTCACCCAACATGTATACCTATGTGCTTGCTCCCACCCCACAGTCACCCAATATATACACTTACTCATTCACACCTACCCACATTCACTCAACATGCACACTCATTCATACCCACCCAACATGTACACTAATATACTCATGCCCATCCCACATTCAGTCAATTGCATACTCTCATATTAATTCCACCCACATTCACCAACATGCACACTTATATGCTCACCCTCAGCCCACACTCACCTGACATGTACATTCAAGTGCTCACCCACACTACAATCACCCAGCACGAATATTTGTAAGCTCACTCCACTCCACATTCATCCAACACATATTTTCACATGTTCACCCACACACCCTCATGCTCATGCTCATCCAACTCACACACATGGTCACTCACACCCCATACTCTCACACTCATTAAGCACCACTCACATATTCACCCATACCTACCTACATTCTTACAGACATGTATCACACATTCTTACTCACACTCACAGAAGGTCACTTACACATATTCTCTCACACTTGTATAAGCTAGCCTGCATACATTCATCCACACATGGTTATTGATTCACAAAGTCACATACTGTCATCTCTCTCTCTCTCTCTCTCTCTCTCTCTCTCACACACACACACACACACACACACACACACACACACACACACACACAGAGGTATTCACACATGGGTACTTAGACAGTTACTTTCCACACTAATGCTCACTCACTTTCCCCTCACACTCCTGTTCACACCTTTGCTCACGCACTACACTGCCTCCCATATACCCTTTCTTTCTATTCCAACAGAGGTGGCTATCCTCCAGGTGAGAGCTCCACCTACCCCCAGCACAGTGTCATTGGCTCTGCTAGAGAATCCAATGCTATCCTGGAACTTGGACGTGCTTGGAATCAGCAGCTGGTTCCTTAGGGACTGGGTGCACTTCAGAGTCCCCGGCACACCCCATGACTTCCACTGCCTAGAATAGGGGGACTAAAAGTGAAATCAGCCCCATCTTCTCTGAAGAGCAACTCTGGGCTGTAGGCATCAGATCTGGCCACTTTCCAGTTGCTCTTCTTTGTCACCCACATTCTCCATAAACAAGTGGATACTTGGGGGTATGATATACCAGGTGGAGAAAGTCAGGAAATGAGGTGCCAAATGAAGGTAGAGGAGCTGCAAGCACAGGATCATGTCCTGAGGGCTATGGCCTTCCTCCCTCAACTCACCAGACTGGGTCCCCTTCATTACCTTTCACAGTGTGGGGAGATCCCTGGCATCACTGTCTGTCTGTGCCAGTCTTGAGGGCCCTGGGTCCAGAGTGAGAAGAGGGAGGAACCAGCTATTAATGACCTTTGCTAGAAAGTTCTTTCTTACACAAAGCCCTGTCCCAGTTCCCTGCATTGGAAATCCTTAGGGAGCCAGATCCAGAGATGTCCATGATGGGGACAGCCACTAGGCTGGCTCTCTGCTCCCTCCCTGTCCTTTTCCTCCTTTCTTCTTGGTCCTATCCTTACCCTACTGTGTCTGAATCTGTCACTCCAGGACCTAATCTTGGTCCTCTCCTGTGCTGTTCATGGCTACTCCTGGGCAACCTCAAAAAAGGTCACCTTAGCCTAAGAAATTTGCATGAAGCAGCCAGCTGGACACCTTCCAGGCTGGTCTCCTTGTGTCCAGCCCTTCTCATTTTCCTGAGTCTTCAGTCCACTCTGTCACTACCACCAGTCACCCTCTCTCTATGGACCCTGTGGCTTCCTACCTTGCTTCCCTTGGCCACCAGGCCATGTCCCCTGCTTATTCAATTTCCCATCTGCCACTTGGTGTGGCTGTCATGACCTCCTCTGGGATAGCAGTTTGTTGGTCAGGCCCAGATGCCCTGGTTCCTTTGGTAGGCCCTGACCTATCCCCCTTTCATCTCTACTCTTTCCAGGCTGACACCACAGCTCTTCTCCAAGGCTTCAGGATCAACATCCATCTGCAGTCCTGGAGCAGGTTGACAGCAACCCAAAGACTCATTCTGACTGATTGCCACTGCTGGAACGGGCTTTATTTGAAAATAGGGTCATAGCAGATGTGACTAAGTGAAGGATGGTGAGCTGAGGAGATGCTCTCTGGTTCTTCAGACAGGCCCTGTGTGCAACGGTAGTGTCCTTCTAAGATAGAGGCAGAGAGAAATATCCAATGCGTATAGAAGAGACCATGGACAACAGAGGATTAGTGAAATAGCCACAAGACAAGGAGTCACCAGGAGCTGCAAGAGGTATAATGTGTCCTCCTAGACCTTATCAAGGAGAACCATCATGCCAACATGACCCATGAACCACAAAAGAATAAATTATACTGTTTTTGTCAGCTTCAATAATTTGTAACAGAAGTCCCAGGATACTCATATAAACCCCAACTTAGTTACCAAGGAGAGTCATCTTTCAAAGGATTGTCCACTGCATACCTGCCACCTCCCAGCCTGCTTAGCCTCAATAGATCCCACACTTGGGACTTTTGGAAAGCTCTGGTCAGCTATTTTGTGTGTGTGTGTGTGTGTGTGTGTGTGTGTGTGTGTGTTGCATACAGACACACACGCACAAAGACTCTTTAAACACCACCCCTCTTGAGCAAGGACAGCTCACTATCTAGGGCACTACCCTCTTCCCTAGCCACCCCTTGTGCAGTGGGCACTGGGGCCATTCAGCATCAGGCTACCTTGGATTCTCTGGGTCCCCAAGGTATGTGTGTCCTCAGAAGCCAGGGGGAAACAAGGGCTCTACCTCATGTGTCCAGAATAGAATCTTTACCTCTTCCTATGGTCTCTGTTTTCCCAAGAGATCCCAGAGTACATAGAAGAACCTGGAAACCATGGGAAAAGCCTGGGTCCACACTTTCAGAGCAGCCTTGCTGCCCCCACTCCAGGGCCTTCACCTCCTTTGCTCGGGTCCTTCAAGGAGAGATTTTCTCCTCAGGGGTCCTGTTTCCATCTAGGCCCTGGTCCAGGATACCGGGCCAACTGCCTCTTCTACAAGATCTGACTTGTTTAAACCTAAGCAGTGGATTTGGCTTAGGCTCCAGCTGGGACCCACTGAATGCAGAAGGCACCTGATCTGTAGTTAGTGTTCAAAAAAATTCGTTATTCTAGCCCCATGCCTCTCAAAGGCCACTCCTTGGCAGCTACTTTGTTCATAGAACAGCTGTTCCCAATGACACACATTACTATGT